ATCGTGAAAACATTAATTCCAACCCCCCCCAACCTCCCTTCCTCCGCTACCCCTCCCCCGTTTTCTCTGGTGCCTCCTTACCTACCTTCCTAATAGTCGCGGGAGAGGAGTGTTGAGCGTCCGAATAGGGCACTCGCACTGCGGTATGAAGGGGCCCTATTCGCGCCCGGATTATCTTTGACTCTTTGCCAAACCGACCACGCATGCTTTGTTGTGTGTGTTGTGTGTGTTGTGTGTGTGTGTGTGTGTGTGTGTGTGTGTGTGATGATGATAAGGAAAGTGTGTGTGTGTGTGTGTGTGTGTTGTTCGTGTGGTTGTTGTGCTTGTGAACCGTGTGTGTGTGGTGTTGTGTGCTGCACTGAGTTCTGTACGGTCTGTATACGTGTAAATGGGATCTATTACTTCTATTTCCTTGAGTGTCGCCTGTTTCTCGCAGAGACCAAACTGAACCTAGACCTGAAGCTCTGATCTTTGACCGTGCGTGTGTGTCTAACTGAAGTGAAGTTAACTGTGTGATGTTTCTTTTGCTACAAAACACAAAAAAAAAAAAAAAAAAAAAGAAAAAGAGGAGACAGAGCAGAAATGACCGTGCGTGTGTGTAAATACTTTTTAGATTGAAGAAGTGTGTGGAGATCGGAGAATTTGTATCGTTGTGTGTGTGTGTGTGTGTGTGTGTATGTGTGTGTGTGTGTGTAGTGTTGTGTGTGTTGTGTGTGATGTGTGTGTGTGTGTTGTGTGTGTGTGTGTGTGTGTGTGTGTGTGTGTGTGTGGTGTGTTGTCGGTCCACTGATAAACAAGAGGCACATTACCCCCTAAACAAACGTCGGGTTGCGCAAAATACCTGTTATACACCGGACACAACAAGTGAGGGAATGAGAGGGGAGAGTGGGCAGCACTCATCCATTCAGTCAGGAGCAGGGGTTGTCTCTGTGACTTGCTTTTAATCTCACCCATTCCACACTAGACTGGACCCAAGGAGAGGATGAGGATGAGGAGGAGGGAGGAAGAAAAGAGCTCCACTCTGTTCCCCTGGTGCTCTCACACCTTCATGCTGAGGCAGACTGACGCTACTCTGGGGATTAGAGACAGTGTGTGAGCAGTAATAGTGGCAGAGAGTGTGTGAGAGTTTTGAAATCTACTTAAACAATTAAATATCCTCAATAAGGTGGTGGTACACTTTCTGGGAGAATTAGTTTTACATACTTGGAAATTGTGGTATGCCGTATGTTTCACAGATGTGTGCATGTTTAAGTAACAAACTACACAAAACAAAAAAGGCGAAAAATATCTGATTGTTATTTCAAAATTGAATTGTATTCTCTATAAATATATTTTGTAATCCTTTCCAATAAAAGTGGACAACTGCTTATAAACCAGATGTTTTAACGCTGGCTCATATTTATATTTGTATATTTGCGACAATTCCTACGAAAGATCTTATAAAAACAACTTCCTCTAATAGATATATTGATGTTTAAAATCGATTCTACTCCCTTTTCTTCCAGATTAAACAAAAAAGAGACACCCCACTCAACAACAACCAGCCCGGAAATGCAACATCCACAAACAATAGCTCTTTGTTAAACTGAGCTTAATGCGTTTAAGTAAGGATTAACTACCTAACAATAGCGACATGAAAGTAAGACAATATCCCCAAATCCCCTTTGCCTCTCTCTCCCTGTGTGCTCTTCTCTCTCCTGCTCCCTCCCTAACAGGATAAGTGCCCCCATGCTAATCATCTAAATGCACGGTACTGGCCATCCTGATCAATGGATCAATGGATCAATGGAGTAAACAGATGGCTGCTGGGGCCTGCAGGGGGCTAATGGTGAGGGTCTAATCCTAACCACTACCTGCCTGCAGTATCATGTCTCCGTCTCCCTGGTGCTCTGCTTTGTCTCTGTGCGGCAGCCGGAGCACTTTTCACAAAACATCTCCCCGTCTACAGAGGAGAAACTGAGCCTCCACCGGCGAAGGAGAGCTGTGAAGAATTGAGCTTTGCTGCGGGAGTCTTGGTGATTCGCGGCTACCCTTTAGCCCCCCCCC